CTTAAGTAGCACAGCAAAAAGGCAAAACTAATGCAATTACAGATGATGTCCAGACAATATTACTGGTATCTGCTGGGCAATAAGCTGCATTATTATTCCCCTCCATCTGTGATTTTCGATGATCTATTTTATTTCATTCCTGAAGCAAGGTTAACTTGTATCAGTGAAATCTCTTAAGTAATCATGATAAATCTAAAAACTTTTTGTTTGGTTAGGGTTTTTTTAAAAGCAATACACTTGGATTTAGCAAGGCAGATGGCCACCTTATATTTAAGTGGTAAGTTAGAAACTCTCCTATTGTCAGAACTACACAGCACTAAAACACATAAAGGCAAAGGCACAAACCCCACACATAGGCTACAGAATATTAAAGCCGTATATGCAAATTAGAATTTGAGTTGGTAATCAAATTTTCTGAAGTCCTAACAATATCTCTGTTCACCTGGGATGGCTGAAAGCTGAAGTCAAAGAGTTGACTTTGTTGTGCCCATCTGTAGAGTATTAGCATCTTACTTCAATTCCAATTACACCACTGCACAAAAGGCACCTGTTAAAGACTACTTAGCCCAAGCCAGCCTTTTAGCCAGGCTTCTGTATCAGCCCTGGAACTGCATCTTTTCCTCTGAGTCAGCCATTACCCAGTACTTACTTGATATTACAGAGGAAAGAACTAAAGTATTAACACTAAGTTTTAGTCAATAATTTCCCTATAATAATATCAAATTTTTAAAATAAAACCATGACTATTTTTTCCTCTCTTCCTGAAAGTAAGTGTGTGGGAGTTGGTGAGAAGCACTAGACTTGCAAAGTTCCTATGCTTGACATACTTGACACACACAACACATTTCTCACTAGATATAACTTCCATGTACTGTCACTGTAAAGATGCAGACTCCATTCTTTCTGTTCTATTTTGCTGCCCTAGACTTTTGGTGAGAATGCATCAACATTTTATCAGAAGAGGGTATGGACAAAAGAACAGTGTTATTTGATGACACTAAGAAGTGAAACATGAATGAATACATCATTGAAATAGTAAGTGAAGAAATTCTGAATTCCAGTCAGCCCAAATAAATTTTACAAAAGTAAATAATAAAAATTAAGAAAAAAGAAAGACTGAGAACAAACTAAGATAAAAGCACTTTTGTATTTTCATTCTATTTTAGGAAGTCAAATGTTCTTGCAGGGAAAAAAAAAAAAAAACAACACAACGCAACAAAACACTAACTTAGATTCAATTAGCTAAGGGGAATCCCAGCTTCCACAGAAATCACATTACTCATACAGCAAAAAAAATTGTTTGGTAATTGTCTTCTCTTAAGGAAATACTTTCTTAATAACAAATATTCATCTTAATATTGCTAATCACAGTTGCAGCTATCTTGCTTCACAGTTCTCAAAACAAAGTTCTCATTTACATAAAGTAACTCAGTAAGAAAAATCCACAAGTCCCCAAAAAAGATCTATAACTATAACAAAGAAAAGCACAAACAGAGTTTCAAAGTTTCTAGATACAATTTAATGCTGGAATTGTATAACGTACCAAAGACTTCATGTGCCAGAAATATACAAAATCACCAATGCTAAACACAGATGATCATTATTTCTAAATAATCTAGAGGGGAAGGGACAGAGAGACCACAGCTGAGCTGATCCAGTGATCATTTCCTTTCTCAGTTCACACATTTCATTGTGGTTTGGCAGAGTTCTGCCTGGACTGGAATAAAACAATGTTTGCCTTTTCAACTTCTTTGGTTTCAATGAAGTTTTCTCTTCATACCTTATTAAGACTACAAGACAGCCTCCAGATGTTCCTGAAGCTTACATTTCTAGGAATCAAATCTTAGGATCATTGGATAACTCAGGCTGGAAGGGACCTTGGGAGGTCTCTAGTCCATCCTCCTGCTCAAAGACGGGCCAGGTGTGAGGTCAGACCAGGTTGTTCAGGCTGGGATCCAGCTGGGTCTCAAAATACTCCAAGGATGGAGATTGCACAGTCTCTCTGAGTGACCTCGTCCAATACTTGACTGTTCTCACTGTGAACACATTCCCAATATTCAGTTAGAATGCCTCAGTTCTGTCTGCGTCATTGCCTCCTGTCCTCCTGCCATGCACCACTGTGAAAAGCCTGGAGATCTCATCTTGACGAGCTCCTAATAGCTGTGGCAGGCTGCTATTCGGGTTCCCTGAAGCCTTCTCCAGGCTGAAGAAGCCCAGCACTTTCAACCTCTCCTCACAGTGCAAGTGCTCTAGTTCACTCACCATCTTGGTGGCCCTCCATTGAACTTGTTCCAGTTTACTGATATCTGTCTTGAAGTCCAGAACAAATTTTTTCCTTCTGCAGTGAACTGTCTTGGTAACTAAGAGGGAGCCTTCTATATCAAGCAGCAGAAGAGGCTGCCCAGGGAAATGGTTGAGCCACTACCCCTGGAGGTATTTGAAAGACATGCAAACGTGGTGCTTAAGGACATGGTTTAGTGGTGGACTTGGCAGGGTTGGGTTTGTGGTTGTCCTCGGCGATCTTAATGGTCTTTTCCAACCTAAATGATTCTATGATTCTGTATGATAGTCAATGGATAATGCTGCTTTCATTCACTTCAAAAGTTATTAACCAAACAAACATTTAATGCAAGATTGTTAACAATTACATGAGTAATAAAGCCACTTAAATGTACAAGCGTCTGTCAGTAGTTAATAACCCAAGTCGGTACCTCCCATTTCATCAATATGCAAGTGAACTATTAAATATATTAAAGCTTAACTTCAGTTGATACTTAAACAGTCACACAGAAAACATCCTTTACTACTTTCTCACATTTACTCTTCTGACTCTATCCCCCACCCAACTGTGGGGCAGCTGTGTGGTACTTAGTTGCTGGCTGGGGTTAAACCACAACAGCTAAACAAACTTTTGAATAAAACAAAATAGAGGCTGTTTTACCACCCCACAAGCCAGACAATCTCCCACGGTAGGGCTGTTATAGCTTTGGACCAATTCATTCTCAAGACCACATCAGAAGACTGAGATAAGAATTAAGAGCACTGTAAGTGATCAATAGCACTATTATACTAGACACAAACTTCAAAACAGTTGTCTTAGTTAATTTTGGGATCTATTACATGGGAAGAAATTCTTTTTTAAACATTTCTGATAATTTGCTCCTTATACACTTTTTACACATTTTGCTTTTCTTGACAGTAACTGCTCCTTGCCATGTAACATACATTGCCTGACTGCAAAAAAAAAAAAAAAAGTTGATATATATTCTTGGTCTTCTGGCATATAACAGCTAGCCAAGAAGTAGCAAAGACTACACGGAGATCTCTAGGTCTATATTTCTAGAATGGTGATTTGCCTGGGATGCAGAATAGATGTTAAGTACAGTTATGCTGCCAAGAACCAAACAAACATCTTCATTTAGAACAGAAGGACAAAATATTTGGGATGAACAAATCTAAGACTTCTGAGAATAAAGGGCACCTTTTAAATATAAAAAAATTGCTTGGGAAAAATCTTTTAAGAGATTATTCAGAGAGAATTAATAACTTCAGAATGTACAAGTTGTAAAAACAATTATTAAAATAATTTTTTTACTCTCCAAAAACAATTTCTGAAAATTTTGCACATACAAGTGCATACAACAAACCAAAAACACAACTAAGTGAAACTCCCACAGAATCAGTTGGTTTATAGAACAAAATGTATACTAAATTCTCCAATTAAAAACCTGTAAAGTAGTTTCCATGCTTTTTAACCCACCTTCCCACAGCAGGGAATTAATCCCTCCAGGGGGATGCAAACAAACTTCAAAGAGAAGATTATACCCAGACACTAGTACTGTACAATGTAATGTTTATGGTCAAATTTGTTCAGATTTTCTGGCACTACAATCCAGATCAGATGTGCAGAAACAAAGACTAGTTATTAAAAGGGCTCCTGCAGTTACATCAAATAGTCATGATGGCATATAGCAGTAGGACAAGCCAAAACTGTATTCCTGTTACAACTCCTATGGAGGCTTTGGCAGTAAAGGAAAGAGTTGCAGCTATTTGACTTTTGCTGATTGTAACAAACAAATACAGATATAAAAAGAGGTAAGTGGCTTTCCAGTCAATAAAATATAAAAATCTTTCTATTGGTTCATTGTACAATATAGAAAATACACACATGATCATTTCATAAAAGATAAAAGGGATACTGCTTCAGTATACGTTGACTAATCATAATTATTTAATTTTGACATCCCTCCTTTTTGTAACATTCCGGAGACTGATCTCTGAAAACAGCATCTTGAACTAAATTCTGGGATTACAAATTTCAACCTTTGTTGTTCCTCCTTATTTGATCAAGTTCCTCAGGTTTAGAAAGAAGTGCAATCAAAAATTCACAAATATACTTACATGTTGGTTTCAGCAGTTAAGGGACTTCTCTAGCATAAACATAGGAATACTTGTCAGAAACAATATTATAGAAAAATACTTCTATAATTATGGCTTGATAACAATGTTTGGTAAAACTAATTAACCAAATCATAAGCTGCATTCATGCCTTATTTCTAGATAAAATCATGTGATCAAAGGAAAAATTCTGGGAATAGATAAAAATACTTCTGTAGACAAGTAAGAAAGAGGAAGTAAAAATAAATTCCATTCAAGAAGCTTTAGAGGTTTTTTTCTTGAAACTACCCTTTTCTTACATGAGCAGCAAATACAAATCTGTAAATGCACTTACCTTTTCAACCTAATGAATTAAGAGTTATTTCTATTTCAAAAGACAAAAAAGGCAAAACTGTCAAAGAAATGAGAAAATTGCCCACAATCCAAGATGGAGGCAAGAATTTCTCATTATTAATCCTAAAATATTCCACAGAACCAGTGATTAAGATATCTTTAAAAGCTAGAACAGCATAATATTAAGTATACTTCATTATCTCACAATACATGGTTCTTAAGAATAGTTTTAGCCAATAAATAGGTAGAATTACAGTGCAAAACAGTACCTTTCCCAGCACAACTGATTCCTGAATAGGTTACTTCTGCATACACTTCAAAGGTAGTTTCCGGATTTTGTCTGAAAGAGTTAAAAAAAATGTTATTTAGCACATGGAGAGTTTTTTTTCAAGTGTGCTTTCAATTACTGAATCAAGAAGTGTTCTAAGAATACATACATTACAATGACAACTTGATAAACTAGATTTCTTGGTTTATAGTCTGTGATGATTTCACATCAGATTTTTCTGCCTTACTAGTAAGTAACAAGATAGGACTGAAGCTCAGATGAGTTAGTACGAACAGGGTGTCTAACCAACTTTCACAGAGAAAAAAAGAATCAAAACAATAGCAATCAATCACATAGAACCTTTAAGTCAGTTCAACTGTTGTGACTAGTCTGCATTTCTAGATACTAAAATATCCCCGGCATATAATTCAGTACTTTGCCAGAAAAATAAACCCATGCCTTTTATATCACTTTTCCAAACGTTACTCAAGATACAGAAACAACAGTTATTTCAGTTCTTGGCCACAACAGTAATTTTGATTACATGTGCAACTTGCAAAAGCAAGTTCTTCTACTTCACCTTTACTTTCAAATGAAAAGGTAAATGACACATGTGCTAATACTTTTTTATCTTCACCAAATTGAAAACAGAGTCATGCTGTCCAACATGGGACAAACAACCCAGATGCACATTTTCATCCCTGTGATCCTTGAGTTCAACTTCATGACACCTATTTACTCAGCAAAAGGGGAAAAAAAAAAAGAAAAAAGAAAAAAAGCTGCAGTCAAAAGGATGCAAAGTCATTGTATGCATTATTACAGTATTTTATGCATTATTGGAAAACTGAATAGGCTGTGTTTGTGATTAAGATAGTTACCCTCTTTAATATCTGTCAAAATATTTCTACCTATTTGTCAAAAAAAAGGCCATGTTGAAGAATATTACAAATGCACAAGGCTTCACCTCATGAGACTCCAGAGTCTTAAATCCAGAAAGCTGCCAGACGCACGCGAAATAAGGAAATAGGTGCGATAGTCAAAAATTATACCAAACTCAGCTGCAAAATTTAAATGAAGCTTGAGGAAAGAAACTTATTCTGCTCCAGAGTTATAAATATACCAGTTAAAAGTTAACGATATATTACTTAAGAAAAAAAAACCATTTAGTGTACATTTTCAGTTCTTACTAATATAACTCTTTAAGTGAAGCTCTGGAATTACATTTCATAAGGAGCATGTAAAGGCAGCAGGTGATTATATAAGAAAGCATATTTTGAGCTAAATTCCTGACTAACAATTATAGCTACTCCAAATTTTTTTATGAGATTAAAGAGAATCACACATTAGACTGTAATTGTTTAGCTACTGAAATAAGGTTTGGTAAGTCTGAACATGTGACATTTATTCTTAGATTTTCTAGTTTAAACCAAGAATCAAAACTGCATAACTACTGCTCTAAATTTATGACTGCTTGTATAGTGAGAATATTGTCTCCTCTGTGTCAATGTAAAATATCTAACATCAGAAAATTGCTGAAGTATAACTAACTTGTGAACTTTGTTAGCTCCCTTACAGCTAAGGGTGAAAATAGATAAAAAACATATATACATATATGCTAGAATTCCTACCTGAATAGTGATTTCAAAAGTGAAACTCATCTTACCCAGCATCTCAAACCAAATATATAAACATGTCAAGGAGTTCAGCCTACTCTTCAGAGAATTTCTTTTATTTTTAATCCTACTTTAACACCAAAAGGGATTAAACAAAACATTTCTAACCATGCCACGGGCCCACTCAGTGTAAGTCAAGTGGCTCTAGGCCAAACCCCACACCTATTTAAACCGACAGAAAAGCTACCACTGGTTTCAGTAGCACAGGATCACACTCTGCAGTTTTACAGAGCACCTCACAGGAGCAACAACATAGTTCACAATTCAATTAATGTTAATTTAATTTGCTACCAGTTCCCAACTGATTTGCCTTAAGTAGCCAATTTTCAGAAAACTACATTCATAAGTTATGAGAAATCTAAAATCAACAAATCAACTATTATTTTGCAGTATAAAGCAAACTTGCATAAATCTCTGTGTGCTACTTAAGAGTTGCTGCATATTTGTCTACTTCAAATACTGATGTTCTTTGCTACATTCCTACAATCATGGTACAAGATAAGGATGAAATGATATCCACACAACACCAGAAATGTATCTTTCCTTTCATATATATTGCTGTGCAGCATTATCTTACCCTCCTTGTTTACGTCTTTATTTTTAGCACCCTGTTTCCTTAATTAAAAGTTTATACATTTTATAATATTTTTACAGCTAATGGATAAAATAACAAACACCTTTTTAGTATTATGTTAGAGCCTGTGTACAAATGCTTTAGTGAAAGCACTGTATAACACAGCTGGCAAAAGCACATACTATATACCAAAACTTTCAGACAAAAAGACATCACATTTTGTATTTTAATATTCCATGACAAACGTCCACTTATTTCTATGAACAGTGAAATTAAAGTAGCTTTGCCAAGTCAGAAACTCAGTATTAAAGGCTGCATTCAACAAGCTAACACCTCAGTATGAGAATGAAGTCATTGTTGAAGTCACTATGAGACTTCATACAGTTTGCAAATATAGCATAAACATGCATCATAATATATACATTTTGCAGTCCATTTTTATGACTATTAAACTACCCTGCAGACATCTAATGCCACCTGTGCATTGTACTGAAACCTCAACCCACTGAAATCATCTACAGCGTTATAACTTTAAACATGAAGTTTTCTTTCCTCCCAGTAATCATTTAAAGACCCATGGTCAGTTACCAAGTGAACATACAGATGCAGTAAAAAAATACATCGGACACATACGTACAAAAATACATAGTACCTCATTTATTTGATAACTGGATAATTTCAGAAGGAAATGCAATATTTTTTTTAAATAACAAATTAGGGAGGAACTCCATGAGAAAAGAATGCTTTCATGATAAATGCTAGTTACAGGAGTTACTACAAACCTCTCTGATGTAGAAATAGCTTTAGTATCAAAGCAATCCATAAGAAACACTGCAAGGGATCTGTGCAGAATAAAATTAAATAAAGTCCTTCTCTGGAGCTGTATGTATGGAAGTACATACCTTATATATCTAAAGCCTATTTTAATTCTGTCAGGAGCATTTTTTTCTACACACAAAAAAAATGTAACAGCACTTATGACAGAAAGTATCGCTCTACTTAAAAATTGAAGCATAAGAGAAGAGCCTGACACTGATAATTGGTTGTCTTGTAATGAGACTTAGTTGCTCAACTCGCAGAAAAAAATTACCAGCAGAAATCTGTAATTACTAATTCAATTCAGAAATTGCACCTCAAATCCTGATTAATTTCCATACATTTAACTTTTTCTGTCTGGTATTCCCTACTCAGGAATTATATTTCAGTATATAGCATATTTTATGTTAAATATCTGAAAGCATTTCCAGATTAATATTAGAGATCTCTTCTGTCATCCCTGAAATGCAACCACCTCTGGAAAGGAACAGGCCAAGTTTTTGTATGTTGCAATGCAATTCTGTTGACCTGATTGATATTGACACATTTAAAAAAAAAAAAAAAAAAAAAAAAAAAAAAACTTTCTCTCTTATAATGTCTTGAGTACTGAAAGCTATGAAGAAGTGATAGCAGCCAGGTTAACTAGATTCCTATTTTACATTACCTTGCTGGCACAGAGTGCCTTGCACGTACCGTATGATACAGTCCAACACGAAGCTTAACCCAAGTATAACCCAGTACTCAATTTACCTTTTTTTTCGCCTGCAGCTATACACAAGTGAAAAGCTTACAGGATTGGTGGCAACTTCTTGATTTCTTTCATTTCATTCTGATGCAGCTACTGATAATTTTCTCTAAGCAATCTTTCACTCAAACGACTCATTACTATACATCCATCAAAAAAATAACTGACACATATGTCCAGGTTTCACAGAGTACAGCACAGTGTGTGCAAGTGATCATGTGCCAAGAAGTTTAATACCCCTCATAATTATCAATATATAGCAAGAAGGAAGAGATCTGACTACTGGATCTTTGCTAGGGCTCCAACACATATTGGTGACACCACTAAAGGAGGCATGTCTCAGTATTCCCAATTATAAAATAGTTTTCTCCTTCATGCTCCCACCTGCCCCCATAAGGGACCTACTTATCAACTCGAAAATCTTTGCTGGATTAAACATCCAGCTCAGGGAAGCCAGAAAAGCCTCTTACTCAGATAGGTGCTCTCATTCTTTATATATTTCAAGATTGTTTTTAAATTTTTTCCTTATTCTACTTGGGCACAGTGTTCTGTCCAAAGTAGAAAAAACCAATTTATTAATTGTTGCTCAAGATGAAGTTGCTTAATCACATAATGGACAAAATGTTTTCTCACCAAGACCAAGAGGAATTAAAAGTAATGTTTATATGGGGTTATCACCTGTGTTTTCCTGGTGATGAAGAAAGACATGGGCTTTGTCTGTAATCTTGACAGACACATTCACACTGAAAGACTTTGCACCGAAAAAGTCCTAAAGTCCACTGGCTGTAATAAATACCTCTAACTGCTACATCTCCTCACTGATACCAGTGAGGTTTCCAGTTGAAGCGCCTCATCCAAGTGACCACATTCACATTCCGCAAAGTGTATGCAAAGCCATTAAAGGTCAGACTAGCAATTGAAAGCCCAAAGGTGGTAAACACAGCTTGTAGAGTCAGTATGTACACAAAAGAAACTAAATTTTAAGTGAGCATCAGTCTTTTAGCATGTTTAAGAGAAGGTAATGGTAAGAAGTAATTTCAGATCATAATCTTGAAGTGACCCAAGCAAGTGTGACCACTGCAAGATCAGAAGGTGCAAGCTACAGATGTAGCTTGCTCTGCTGACAAAATAGTAACAATTTTAGATCCTACCTGTATTTGAATGTAAACTAAGAGTTTAACTGGTTTCTCAGACTTTGATTTTTTTGTAGCAAGAGTTGAGAACCCAGAGACCAAAAAAATTAGCCCCGAAGTGTCTCCTGAAGAAAGAAGGCTGCTTTCTGGAACCAAGCAATTGCCTTAGTGCTATTACAAGCACTCATTATCTGCTTACATTTTCTTAAAACACCTGGCTGGATAGATACACACATCCAGCCTACAGGCTTGGGAACATGAAGATGTGTCATCACACTAAGCTCACTATTAAGTATGTCTCCTCCAGCCTCCTATTCAATTTAAACTGAAGAAGCAAAAAGTTAAAGCCCTATGTAATCTTGAAGAACACTGTGTTCAAGAAAGAAAAGCAATTACTCAACAGCACCTATTGACACTACTGAATAAAATACAATCTGACTGGATCTCTCCGCTCTACCACACCTTTCATGCACAAAGATGTCAGCACTCCCTGCTTTGTGATAGCTTTATTACATCTGTGTCTCAGAGGAACTGAATTTGCCTGGAACAGCACATGAATGAACTGAGATCTTTAATGCGACAGTACTAAACATACCAACAGGGCTTACCAATAAATCAACCCCGTTTTATGAAAATTCAAAAAATACTGAGGGCATGGCGCTGCAGGCCTCACACATTAATCACTCGCACCACTGTTCTCCTTCCCCCAAATCCCCTTGCTAATGCACTTTCAAGATCTCATAGCTAGACTATCCATCTTTCCTTTAGCACACTCTAACCTAGGCAAGGAGGCTTTGAACTCTCCCAACCCCACCACACCCCCAAACCAGGCGTCACCAGTGCCAGCAATGAAGCCCCAGTGCCGGCAACGAAGCCTTTCCCCTTCCAGCAGCCCCGATCCACCTTAAGGCCTGCACCGACAAAACTCCAACTGCCCTCACAGCCTGGCCCTACGCGCTTCCACACGGAGATCTGAAGACAGGGAGCGAATAGACAACAAACTAGGGTTGGGTTTGAGGGCGGGAAACGACACTCTCCTCCCCTCCTCAGGGCAGGGGGGGCCGGGGGAGCTGCCCGCGCCGGGGTCCCGCCGCTGAGTTGGGCTTTGACGGCCCGGGGCCCTCTGCCCTGCTGCCTCCTCCCTCCCCGGCCCGCCAGCTGGCCTCGGGGCGGGGGGGCGTGGGAAGCACTCTTTCCCCTTCTTTCTCCCCCTCTTTCTCGCCCTACCCCGAGGCCTGTGGGCTCGGCCGGGGTCTGGCCCGCGCGGCCTCACAGGGAGCTGGAAGGAGATCGGGGGAAGTCCCCTTCTCACTCTCCAGAGCCCTCCCGCTTTGCTGAGGGCCTGCAAGCGGGGCTGAGAGCTCCGGGGGGGGGGAAGCGGGAGGGGGGGCACTCACTTGATCCTGGATCCCATGGTCTCTGGGGGGCCGCATAGGCCCGGGCCAGAGAGAAAGTAGTGTGGGGGGGGGGGGGCGGGGGTGGGGGCTGGGGCTCGGCAGGCTGCGCTCTCTCCGCCGCTCGCCCCCTCACTCCATCCCGGCCCGCGCCGCCGTCGCCCCAGCCGAGTCACGGCGCGGCGCGGGGGCTGCCGGGAGTTGTAGTGCGGAGGGGCCCGCGCGGGCGGGGCCAACGGGCTGGCACCCGCCCGCCGCGCGCTTCCCCCCCCCGCTTTTGGCGGGCGGGTGCGGGCGCTCCCCTCAGGGCCCCTGAGGCGGCGGTCCCGGGGGCGCCGCTGCGCTCCATGAGCCCTCCATGAGCCCCTCCGCCAGCCCCTCCGCCGCGCTCAGCGGCTTCGACAGTGGTCAGGAGTGCCGCCGGGAAGGGGACTGAGCGGGACGCCCCTCAGCAGCCAGCCGGCCGCGGATCAGAGCTGCCTCCCGGCCCGCCCCGCAGCGCCTTGCGCCCCGTCAGTGGGAGCTGAACCGTCAGGCACCCTCTGAGCAGGGCCAAAACGCGCCACAGGCGTGATCCCGAGCCCGTAGCAATCCACTGGGGACTGATATCCAGACCAATGAGGATCAGGACTGTCCGGGTTGGAAAGCCCTGTAAAGAGGTGAACCATCCCCACAGGGACAGTACCCGGCGTGGCAAGAAACAGGCTGGAGTCCCAGGCAGAAGTAAGTGTCTGGTGCCTCAGGACTACAGAATTCAAAGAAAAGAGGCAGAGAGAGGGGCGGTGAGCTGATACTCACGCAGAGCTATGATAGGACATACTACACTGTTGGTCCCAGAAACCAAAGCAGCTGAAAAGGCAATAAAGGATGACTAGAAAGTATTACAAGCCCAATAAGGTCCTAAAGGTGACCGGAGACTTCTCAAAAAGAAATGAGGGAGAGCTGAAGTGCAGTCTGCTGAAAACAAAGCTTACACTGAGTCAAAATTTGCAGAAAGACAGATTCTGAAATGTGCCTTATTCAAGAAGGCAAGCAGGATGAAACAGGTACCCAACAGTTTTATTAAAAATGTTTTATAGGAAGTTTTCAGGAAGGTTTGAGCAATTTCTACCTTAATGTAAAAATTTCTAACTTTTTAGAGTTGGAGATTATCTGCAGTGAAGTATAATAAAATTGGAAATTTGGCTTAAAAAGACCTCTAAACTGCAAATCACTGTGGAAGTTAACGGCTTGACTGAATAATCTGGTCAGCTGGAAAGATGGGAGAGAGATGGAATATCTCATTTGAGATATTTTTATATCTCATTTGCTCCCCAGAGGGGCTGGGTAGGAGAAATCATACCATCCTCATTCGAGTAATAAATACAAAATATGGTAAACATTTATGCAAAAAATCCGGGAAGATTTGTTCACAGTTATAGTAAATCAAAGAAATGTTTGGGTAGATGAGAAGGAGTGTTTCCAGTACTAATTTGGGTACTTGAGATGAGGTACTTCCACCACAGGCTTCCGCCCACACCCTCTGCTTCTGCCGCAGGAGCCGTATGTGAGCTCAGGCCCCAGCATTCAGTCATGGCTTGAGCTGTGGTGGAGGTCTGCCCGTACCCAGTCCTGACCCTGAATTATTGCTTGGATTTCTTGGACTGACCTTAGGCCTGTTACCTTGGTTTTTCTGACAGACACTGGGCTGTTGTGAGGATCTGTTGCTCTCAGCACCCCTGCTTTGCTTGCCCAGCTCTTGTCTGTGGGTTATGCCTGGTCACTGAGGTCATTGCCCAGCCTGCGTTGCGGTCACCCTCAGCTCCTGACTAGCCTTCTTTAGGGTGTGGGTGGCCTTTGCTGCTCCCTGACATGTGTTCTATAAAGGTGATCTATATTGGTGTTCCCTGTTTCATACAGAAGAATCCGTATCAATATAAAATAGCTTTTAACCAAAATTACTGTGTTCAGACGAGGGATATTCTTCTCCTTTAAATAAAACAGCACACTAAAGGTTATATGTATAACTGTCAAATGAAGGTAAGTTTATATAAATATTGTTAAAATTGTTTACAAAAGAAAAAAAAAAACAGTCAGTAATGAGGACAAATATGAGGAAACCGACAAATACAGTGCTGGTAAAGTGTAAAATAACAATCTGGAAAAAAAAAATCAAAACATTTTAAGAGTGGCTGACAATTTCTTAAATTTCATCACCCTTTTTGGAAAATGGATTGGCATTAAACTTAAGAGGCAGAGCTAGAGACTCACAATTGTAGTTTTGCTCTCATTTGTTTAGTGTGCTTTTCAAAGATTTGGTAAACTTATTAATATGAACAGATCTGGCAAACATTTAATGGGAATAGTATAGTATTCAAGAATAGTAGACTGATTTATATTTGATAGTTTTTAGACTGGACATACTAAGGAATAAAATGCTAAGTGATTCAGGTGAGCAATTTAAATCCTCTCACAGAGTAAATGAATTATTAGGAAGTATGCATTCACCCCAATGTGGAAAAAAATAAGGTATAAAAATTGGATTTCAAGAACTAAACTGAGAGGACTGGATAGCTGAGATCATGGATGAACTGATAGTGGCTGATAACTAACAAATGCCAGGAAAAATGGCTTGCAAAATCAGTGTTTGGTACTTATCTTTAAATACGTCTCAGGGAAACATCTATTTTGTAGGTGACTGGTTTGTAATGAGTGTATTTTCCTACACCCAGGGGAATTATGATAGCAGCCCCATGTTGGTACCTGTTCATCAACAGTTTCTCAATCTGGATAATGTGCAGGTGCATGCTAAAACTTTTCAGCAGGAAATATTACCGTTACATAGGTTATGTGATAAGCATGAGATAATCAATCTGAAAAAACAATATGTTAGTGTATTTCAAGAAGAGGATGACCTACCTCAAGCTCACAGTTAATGGAGAGGCGTTTAATAAAAATAAATGGGAAAATGTATGAAACATTGTAAGGTTCTGTCCTTGCTACAGAAGATACGCTAATGGGTCTGGCAACAGGAACACTGCAAATTCACTCTGTGGAAACTGTAGTCTAAAAGACTGCCTAACAAAACAAGTGTGAGCTTGTAAATCTAGTAATGATAAGACAGAGGAAACCAGACACTCAATATGGAATTAGTATGGTATACTCTAACATTATTTTGAAGCAGGCAAAGTCATGTATATTCCAGAATCCAGTGCATTGATCCAGAACACAGCTTGTACCCTCCAAATGGTGATAATAAAAGAGAAAAAATCATTCAAAATTTCATCTAACTAGAGACTGAATATTTAAATATTTGTTCAAATTGTGAAAAACTTATTTTCTGTGTGAAAGTGCTAAAAGACAATGGGAAAACAAAAATGTTAAATATGATGTGGATGTTCCTGTTCTAGTGCAGGAAATTTTTCTATCTGTCTAATATTGTGTTCCAAGGTGTAGAACTTTTTTTTCCCCCACTTTTCCTGGTGTATTTATGTAACCAAGCTGCTCATTAGGTAGCCCAGATTACATTTTGTGCAATTCTGTTGACGGTACTAATGTCTGCAGCTGGCCCAATGGTTTGGTGGTAATTGTGTAACAGTTACAGGGCAGCAGAGGCAGAGAAGCCTCTAAGGAAACAGAAGGGTTTAACCGCACCAGGGTTACAGCAATGCCTGCTGGCCTGTCCATAGAGCAATAGTTTTGAACATCTCAGAATAGATGAGCTGATTAACTGTGAATCACCCTCCCAGAAGAGATGAAGCATTACTAGGAAACAAAAGGGAAGCAGAAGTCAAACTTCAGGCAGAAGACAATAATCCAGGAATTAAAAGATTGGTGAAAGCCTTAGGATGCTTCCAGATTGACCAGAAAGTCTTAGTTCAGTACCACAGAAATAGAGCTCTTATACTGTGCACTCTATGATGAATTTGAGTGAATGTGGCTGAACCTGTATTTTAATATGTAATGCACCCACAGCAACAAATGTACATGAAAGTTAACACTTTCTTCTCAGTCAGTGACAACCCTCCTACAGCATGCTGTAATCTGAATTCACTTGGGAAATTCTCTCTGCTGCATCTCAGCCAATGGGAATGGCAAGAAAAAAAAATGCTGAAAGTGCTGACTTTATAGATTGGTAGTTAAGCTTCATCTAAACAGTTATGCCTTGAAAGAGAATATATTGCTGCCTAAATAATATTGATTATAATGTTCATGTATGTTTTTCCAAATTTCTCAATGGTTGCAGATTAGGAAAATCTCTACCAATGTTTATAAACTAATAGAAAGCTTATTAAAGATATTTTTTCAATGTGAAGCACAAGTTACTTTATCAACCCCAAGCTTGTAATTCTTGTGGTTATCAAATAACGTGCCTCGTAAGTTATGGATCCGGTCTTTGGTCCATCTTATGTGCAGCCTCCAGAAGTGTTCATGTATGTCACTTTAGAAAAAAACCTGTTCCTAATATTCCCAAACTGTGATTCATCAGGCATTGTTAGGATAACTGGTTAGCCTTCAGAGGCATTAGTTTGTGCCTTGAAACAACAGAGGTGTTTAAATTGGCATATATACCTACTTGTATGGATAGGAATGGGTAACATCTATTTATTTTTCTTCTTTTCCATCGCCAGTTATAAAACAGTAACCTGTAATTGCACAGAGTGCAACTGATCTTTGGAAAATACAGAAGAAAATATAAAAACTGACAAAACAAAAAAACAAACAAACAAAAAAAAACCCCCAGCAGTCATAAGAACATAACCAATGAGTTAAATCAAAAGCATTCTGTCTCCAAAACTGGCCAGTGGCAGATGTTTAAGGAAGAGTATAGGAACATGGAGGCATGTAGAATCCTCTCCCAGCCTCCCATAAATTAATGTATTTTTCTCAGCCACAGGTGCTCCTTCTATATAATAGCTTTTCAGGGATTTTTCTTCCATTAATTTGTTCAGTTGCTTTTAAATCCATGTATAATTTAGAATCCACTACCTTCTAGGACGTGGAGTTTCCATAGCTTAATCACAAGCCAGATGAAAAAAAACACCCCTCCTTTTGTTTGTGTTGAACCTGCCACAGTTTTTCATTTGACTCCTCACCAATATTATATTGGAAGTGTCAGGGAAGGGCTGTTTCTTATTTACCTTCTTCATGTCTTTTGTGATTTCATAAACCTTAT